TGGGAGTTTTGGTTCTTTGAACTTTTGGAAGTGATTGAAAACTGGTTTTAGTGATTTTCTATGAATATATCTTGAAATCAAACTCAAAAATGCAGGTTTTGGTACTTTTTCTCACTATTTTGACCAGTTTTTCAAGCCTGCAGAACACCCCTGGTTGCCCGCACCGGACCACGCAACCCTAGTCGACCACCCTGATCGACTGAACTTCGCACATTGGCCAACCGGTGGATTTTCACTCCTCCACCACTAGTCGACCAATTTGAATGTATTTTGCCCCAAAATGCTTGAAAAACTTGTTTTTGACCCTAAATTTCAATGGAAAACCAAATTAACTTCATTTGGGAACTCAAAGTGAGTGAGTAGATTAGCCACATTAATCCTTGTTCTATTCTATTTTTCTTGTTTGAGTTTCAATTCTCAAAGAACCACAACTTGGATTATGAAGTTGTTTATAAACTTTGGTTTTGAGTCAAGGCACACTAGTATGATACAATTGTACATAATTAAGCTAGATTTGTTTTAGAGGTGAGGTATAAACTCTAAAATATTGTTTTGATGGCGAAGCTAGCGGCAGGATCGGATTTTGAGCTTCGAAGATAAGTGAGGCTAGGACGACGAGAAGCTAGCCATGGAATTGATATCAAAGAGGTAGAATATTCTTGTCTATATCCTTGATAGCCTTTGTTTAAAATGTTGCTTGGCTTAAAACGATGTTTTGAAGACAAAGCATGTTTGATAGAGAAATGTGATTTTGAGGAGATAGCATGAATTATGCTATTGAACTTTTAATGTGTCAACTTAAGGTTTAAAATGATATATTTTGTTAAAATGAGATATTTTGAGAAATGGTAAAATGTATGATGGCCTAGAGATCCGGATATGCATATCATATATTTACATATCTTTAGGGGCAGGTCCAGAAACCCGTACGGGCCACTCCATAGCGTGGGTGGTGATATCATGGCTTTGCAATAATGTGAGTAATTTATCATATTTTTGTGAATAGCTTATTAGCACATGAAACTAGAATTTATGGGTCATTTCCTTTTATTAAAGGATGTTTGGTTATGTATGATACGTTCGGACCGTGTACTCTTTTAATTGATAAAATTTTATGAAATTATATCCTACTGAACCTTTTGCTTATTGTTTATTTTATTTTCAATGTTTTAAACCCCTCCTAGGCGACATTAGAAGTAGTGCCGAGTAGATAGAGACTACCGATGATACTACCTCAAACTCAAGGAGTGAAGAAGTTGTAATTACTTCTATCCTTAATGTATATTTCTAAGGCATGTATAATTTTATGGTTTGTATCCTTAAATGCTCCTGGACTGTGGTTGATGTCAATATTTTATTTTCCCTATCTTATTTATGTATGTTATAATATGGATTTTCCTGTGGGGGATCCTGATATGATGCCAGAAGCTAAATTTTGAACTTGTTTTATTATGATGTTGTGAAATCCCCATCATTTTTCTTGAAATCTAATTTCTTTCAAATTGTGGAGTTTGTTTGGAAATTCTTCAATATTTATTCCTTGAAATTGATTTTGGTGTTATCAAAATGATTAATTATTTTTTTTTCTTAATCCGGTTTAATTTCTAAATAAGCTTCCACGTCACTAATTCTTATTTTGGAGCGTGACATAATTTCTACTAACTAATCAAAGTCCGTTATCCATTTGACTATTTTGTTACGGATTGTCAAATTTAGGGTCCTAAATATCAAAATTTAAAGTTTAATGCTCAGTTTAATGATAAGAAATTCAAAGTGAACCAATGTAAATTACCCTAAATTAGTTGTTTCTACCGTCTCATTGCAGAGAAGAAAACGGGCATAAATGGTCATATAAAAACACTTGAAATATGAGTGTTAAAAATCGTCAAGTACACATGGTGTACTTACAAAATGCATCTGACGAGTAGTCATGTGACTTTGCAAGTATTAATACAAAGGAGGAAACACAAAAATAACCGCCTTGAGATGCACACATGTGTATTCTCATTTAGTTCGTTGATTTGAGTTTTTAATTCGAATTAATATGTGATTTTATGTGAGAATTTTTTACTATAATAAAAAAATTAGATGTGATTATTTATGAGAATTTTTTACTATAATAAAATTTAAATTTTAAATTTAAATTAATAAAATAAACGAGGCGTGATGATATGCATGTGGCAAGTTCCCAAACTCAATTCCTAGCTATATGATTGATCCCTTGTGCCAAAAATGAAAATCAAGGCTAATGGGAACCACTTTGTCCTTCCATAAGTACAAGTTTGACATGTGAAAGTGTCATCCATATTTTTGGCTTTTGACGGCAAAACTTTTAGATGGGTCAGATTATTTTTTTTTTCCCCACTTAGATTAGACTGATCACATAAAACCTAACTTCCAGTCTCCTACATGTCACGAGTAATTATTTGCCAAGGGATGTGACCTCAAAAGGCATCGTGTTCGTTCCATGAAGCTATATATATATATATATATATATATATATATATATATATATATATATGTGTGTGTGTGTGTGTGTGTGTGTGGGTTGGATTGTTTGTTATAATATTTTTTTTTTCCGTGTAGTTAGAAACGAACGATGAAGTGTAAAAATTGCAATGCTTCCTTGTCCTGCGTCTTGACTACAGACTTCATTATTGGCTTTACTATCAATGTTATTGCTTTTCTTGTTTGCATGCGTTCATTATTCAGTGTGGTCAAGTAACAGCATCTATATACAGAGCAGAATTAAAGTGTTGATGGCTTGATGCCAAATTTTGGCATTTAGATAGGAAAATATTCTCCAATATAGTGTTATTTTTGCCTTAAATTTAGTATATGTTATTTTTGATACCAAGTATAGGACATGATTTTATCATTTGCTTGCTATAAGTTAAATATATTACACAAAATCTTTTCATTTTCAAATTATTAACAAAAAAAGCTTAAAGTTTCATTTAAAAATTAATATAAAATTTAATATAACATTATAAATCGGATTACAAAACAGAACAATATATTAAATATATTATTTTCTTAATTTTTGTGTGTCAAATATAACATTGAGATTTGAGTTGAAGCTCACATTAATATGTTCTTGCTGGATAGTCCAAATAGAAATTATCATTATACTAAAGAAATAAGGGAGTTCTCATATTTAAAAGTTTAAACTAGTAATTACGATGTCCCATAAATGTTATTTTTTTGATATTTTTTTCGGTATGTTAACATACTGATAGGTTAAATTTTTTGTCTATCTGATTTATAAAAAATCACGTAAAAATTAAAAAATTCACAGATTTAATGGTTAGAATCTTTTTACTTTTTTTAGTGGCTAATGTTAAAAACAGTAAATTGTGTTCCATTTCTTTGCCATAGGTACTCCATAACAAGAGCAGACATTAATAACCTTTTTACTTTTGAGAGAAAAAAAAAATCCTAGTTAATAACATGCAAAATCGTGGGATGATAGATTTAGAATTATTAGGGTTTGCTTTCTCTTCATATATATGGTCCCATATTCGGAAGGATACAATTTCTTTTCGACAATTTCTGCACAATGTCTATTTCCCCTTTTTATAATCAACTAGAACTCCTCATTAATTCATTCAAAAAAAAAACCTCATTAATTCTTGCATATAATATTTTTTTAAGTAAAACTTTATTCTTGTATATATAAAATCGAATACTTGTACCTTTTTATCCTTTGAAAGAAAAAAGAAATTAGGGGAAACGTATAGATTTCTTTTTTACTTGTACTCTTTTTTTTTTCTTTCTTTTTTCTCTTGAAGGTTCTTTTAACCCTATCCACAGTCACAGTCAGATATATACTTAAAATCATGTTCTTTATTTTTCTAAAATACATTATCCAGACCAATAACGGAATGCGTACGGACACATCAGCTATCCATATAAAGGTTCTTACCGTTTTGTGCAATACCAAAACAATCCTAAAAAATTCCAACATATAACTGCTTGTATTGTTAAAAAAAATTTGTTGCCTTCTTTTTTATTTATTTATTTTTATTTTTTGTGAACACACTTGTTCCCTTGTTAGTTTGGTCGCAGTTCGTTAAGAATTTGTTTGATAGGAGAGATGGAGAAAATAAGGGATGGAGAGAGTTAGAAAAATAGAGGTTTTGTTCATTTCACTCGTTCGAGTTTTTAATTCTACTTTTACTATATGTAAAAGTTATCATAAAAAGTTACATTTAACTTTTTTTTTATAATTAAAAGTTCTCACATAATGTTACATTTTAACTCGAATTAAAAATTTAAATTGACAAACTGAACAGAACCAAAGAATGTAAAGGATAAAAATTATTATAATAATTATTTATGTTGTTTAGTAGGATGAAATAAAAGTTGAATAAATAGATGATAATTTTTTATTTAATTATTATACATGTCTATTATACTATTTATTAAGAATTACTTTTAAAAGATAAAAAAGACATTTATTTTTTAATTTTAAATGGATAAATTGAATCCTTCTATTGATAAAAAAATCTAAAATAATATATCTAATTCTTCTCTTTCTTACCGAACAAGAGATTCACTCTCTTTCCACTCCTTTCTCTCCCTCCCTCTTTCTCTCCTTCCTAGCAAACATACCCTAAAGCTCTCGCTCTGCCTTTTAAGCGTTAGTTGCGGCCAAAATCACGAGCGCTAAAAAGAACGGGTGAGATTACATCATCAATACCAATTCTTTAATCTCATCATTTTACTTTTCTTTTTCTTTCTTTTCCCTTTTTTTTTACACAATAATATTTTTGGAGGCAAACACACACACGTATTTAACAGAAGAGGAGGTGTATAAATATAGCACATATTCCAATCATCCCCAAGCTGGTTCACCTCTCTGCCCTGTCCCTCCCAAGAATAACCAACTCTTAAAGATATCCAACTTTTGAAGTTTTCTTTTCTTTTTTTCTTCCCCTTATTTTCGTTCTCTTTAAGCCTCATGCAACGAAGACTCTTTTTTTGTTCGTTTACAAGGTTGTTCTTCATTAGTTTTTCTAGGCTCTGGGTTTTGAACAATTTTAAGTTTTTTTTTTTTTTTTTTTTTTAAATTAAGTTTCTGTGTATTGGAAAAAAAACCAAGAGAATAATCATGTTGGTTGAAGGTAAGTTTTGATTTTTTCTTTTCTATTTTTCCTTTCTCTTCTAGCTGATATATGTTTGGTTGCTGAGAAATAAAGGAAAGGTTGAGCAAAGAAAGGAATGGGGATATTCAAAGAGTCGTTGTTTATTATTTTCCAACCAAAAAAAAAAAAAAGCCTCCAAAAATGGTTTTCTTCCTAAGCAACGTGAACTCGAAAAGCGGACAAATTCCTCATTTATTCTTTTCTCGTCGTTTCCTCTGTTTTCTGAGATCATATTGCTTCCTAACTCATTCACCATTGCCTCAAACAGATACCGGAGTCGGAGAAGAAAACGGACAAAACCTAGAAATGGATATCGAAGAGAACCAAAACCCAGAAATACATATTGAACAGAGTAAAAACCCAGAAACGAATTTCGAGGACAGACAAAACCCAGAAAAAGATATCGAAAACAACCAAAACCCAGAAATGGATTTCGAGAAAAACAAAAAACCGGAAATGGATTCCCAAGAAAGACAGAGCACAGAAATGGATTTCGAGAAAAGCGAAAACCCAGAAACGGAATCCGAAGAAAGACAAAACCCGGAAATGGATTTCGAGGAGAACGAAAACCCAGAAACGGAATCCGAAGAAAGAAAAAACCCAGAAAGGGAAACCGAATCCGACTTGAAAAGCATGGAGTTTTGCGATGAGGCGTCGCCGAGAGGAGTACTGGAAATCCCTGTCTCGGGAACAGAGTCGGACCAGAGCAGCAGCACAAGCAGCAGCTCGAGCTTGGGAGAGAAAACGACGACGGGTCGAAGTCAAGGACAACGGGGACAATGGAAGAACGTGTTGGAACTTCTAAAGAGGAAATCGGCGAGGAGATTCTCGACGATGCCCTTTTTGGCGGCGAGCTACGAGATGTCGAGGAGGAATTTGAGGAGGAAGCTGGCAAGGATTCGCAGCGCCGAGGAAGGCCGTGTCGTCGACTGCGAAGGTTTCATGGCGGCCAAGCCGTCCTGGAGGAGCTTTGGCTACGCTGAGCTCGCCGCTGCCACGGCCAATTTCAGTCCTGGTGAGAGAATTTTGGAACTTTTTTTTTGCTTCTGCTTTTTTATTTAAATCTAATTAATTGATTTCTTAGAGGAAAATTGAAATTTCTACGTGGAAATTTTGTTGGCCATTTCATTCGATTTTAAAGATTTCACCCACGAGTGTTCACATTAAAAATATGCCGAGTGTTAACTATTAATCAATAATCACTAGTGATCACGCCATTACTTTCACATTAGATTTTTTTAAGGAAAGATTTCCAATTCACTAAATTATAATTAGATATAAACCTTTGATACTACATATAATGACTATTATTGTTTGATTTATTTTGGGGCTAAATAGATCCAATTTGTTTTTCCTTTCTTAGAAAAAAAAAAGTCAAATTTTTTCGACATTAATATTAGAGGTGGGTATAAATTAATGTTTTTGTAACGTTTGGCATTTGAGTCTAGGCATATTCTCAATGCAAGCCGAGACTTGTGGGCTGCTACTGTTTTGTTGTTTTCTTGGGTCAATGGATTGGTTTCTCAATAATGCTATTTACAAAAGAGTTGCCTCTGGGTCCGACTCAGGAAATCAAACAGTCTTTTGTTTAGGTCATAGATATTTTACCACAGTTTCTCCTCTCTCGTTTGTGGTTAGATGTATCGTTTCCTATCCCAAACAGTGTATATACGTGAACAAGTTTATATGAGAATAACCGTTAAAACCACACCCATATGTTATATATACACACATATATATATATGACCATTTGAAGGTTTCTTGTTTGTCTGTAGGAAAAAAATTGTACAAGATAACTGGTTAGTGTTTTTTTTTTTTTTTTTTTTTTTTTTTTTTTTTTTTAAATGATTAGATGTTGAACCACGAATAGAAATGACTCCCTCATCTGAAGCCAATTTATAAAGCGCACTAGCAGCCATTAGTCAATATGGGGACCAGCATCAGCATGGGACTTTTCCTTTTGAGACGACCTTTTTGACTCAAAACTTTTCGCTCTTTCTCAAGGACCATAAACAGGAAAGAAAGTGATTGCTGTGTGCTCGATTGCCGTACCTAGAAAAATAACACCTTGTCGGGTTATTTGGGTGGAAATTGAGAACAATCTTTTATAAGCAACCTATGACATCTACAAGTGTTCACCTTGACTTTGCCAAGAATAATTGCCTTTAGCAAAAGGCTAACTGTGTGATATGATTCACATGAATTTCTTATTGACCAAATCTTATACATCACTTGCATCTATCAACAAGGGTTTTTGCAGTTGGTTTTGAAGGAGAATTCCTTGGTAGGATATAAAAATTTCGTTAAATTATCAAATTTCGTATAAACCTTTTGAAGCTGCCAGATATTTATCAAATTTTGTTAAATTATCATTCTTTTTTAGTATAATGTGATATGACAATAAAAAATAATAATAATAATAATAAAAAAACATGTCTTAATAGTAGCCTACAACCACAGAATTTTCCATTTTTATAATATATCCCTGAAGAGTTCCTAGTTTTTACAGCCTTATAGTTTTATTATTGTTGTTGTTGTTGTTAACATCTCAGCCTTATAGTTATTAGTCAAATACGTGGAAAAAAAAGAGGCTGACATTAAAAAAACTGATTAGCCAGATTTGAAAATTTTCCCGCTAATTAATGGGGAATAGAGTCATTCCCTAAGTTTACTTTTTGACATAAATTAAGAGACGGTCATTGTGCAAGGTCATAGTTCCTGACTCCATGTCCGTCAAACCAATGCTAGGAAGTCAATAGTTGGACCTGGTGAGACTTAGGAATTTCAGTCAAGAATTATTCTTTTCCACAGTTTAGGAAAGCAAACCAATCAGCTACACCCTATGTGTGATTTCAAAAGTGGGATTTGGTAGATAAACATTTCAATCCTGTTCGTCCATTCCCAGCTGATTTTGTGGAACTACCTTTTCTTTTTCTGTTTTATTTATTTTCCATTTTTTTTAAAACACTAGTGTTTCCTGCTTTTCAAGAGTCAGATATGTATTACTTTTTCAATCTAATTTAACTTTTGATAAGATTTAATACAGATCCGACGGCTGATAAGTAGGAAACACCGGGTCTCAAAAAAGAGAGAACACAAGACAAATTCCCTTATTATTTTTTTTTTTTTCTGGAAGGAAAAGTTGATACATCTATTGAGTCAAAACTTGAAAACTTCACAGATAACCTAATTGGGAGAGGAGGGCAGGCAGAGGTATACAAGGGGTGCTTTTCAGACGGTCAAATTGTTGCGGTAAAGAGGCTTATAAAGAAGGAGAAGGAAAATGAAGAGAGAATTGGTGACTTCTTATCGGAGCTTGGGATCATTGCACATATTGACCACCCAAATGCTGCTCGCTTGCTTGGTTTCGGCGTCGATGGCGGTTTGCATTTAGTTCTACAATTTTCCCCACATGGCAGCCTTGCTTCTTTGCTCTTTGGTGCTGTATCTTCTTCTTATTTTCCCCTAAGTCATATACATTTTGCTTGCATTTGTCCTCCTCTTTACTTTTGAATATACGATTTATTTTCTAGATCAATGAGTGGAATATTGATCAACAAGAACATTTCATACTTGAGCTCATGAAGAAACATTCAGTTTTTCAGGTTCAGAGGGTCTGGAGTGGAAGATAAGGTTTAAAGTGGCAATTGGGGTAGCAGAGGGATTGCAATATCTACATCACAATTGCCAGAGGCGAATTATTCACAGAGACATTAAGGCCTCTAACATATTGCTCACCCAAGATTATGAGGCTCAGGTACATTTCCTATTCATCTCATGTTGATTTCTAAGTTCATTTCTGTGCCTTTATTTATTTATTTATTTATTTATTTGTGTGTGTGTGTGAAACTGGCTTGTTTTGTAAAATGCAGATTTCCGATTTTGGCCTCGCAAAGTGGCTCCCAGAGAAATGGACTCACCATGTTGTCTTCCCAATTGAAGGCACATTTGGGTTAGTTTGGCGGTTTCTCATATTGCCCTCTTTGTAGTTAGCAATTTCTGCTATAAGACATTTGTGCTTATGCATTTTCACATGTTTTCAGATATTTGGCTCCAGAATACTTCATGCATGGAATTATAGATGAGAAGACAGATGTATTTGCTTATGGGGTTTTACTTCTTGAGCTCATAACAGGCCGTCGAGCAGTCGATTCAAGTCAACAAAGCCTCGTCATCTGGGTATTACTTCTTATACAATTCTAATTCAACTTGTGCAAGAGAGAATGCATTTCCTACATATAGGTTGCAGGGCTTTGTAATGACTTCATAATTATGTCCTGAAAAAGATAACAGTATAATCAAAAAGGTAAATCTTGTTATGCACAGGCAAAACCTATGCTAGACATGAATAATTTCAGGGAACTCGCGGACGCTCGACTAGGTGAAGGTTTTGATATTATCGAGATGAAACGTGTAATGCTGACGGCATCAATGTGCATTCACCATCAATCATCTAGGCGTCCATACATGAATAGGGTATGGAACTGTGTTTTTCTCTTTAACGTCACCCTGTTTTTTCATATTCCAAAATTCGACAGATTATGCTCACCTTTTCTTTTCTTTTTTTACTATATATAGGTTGTTCAGCTGTTGAAAGCTGAAGATGGATATCAAGAATTGAAGCCTAAATCTACAGCACTGAGATCAGTGATGTTGGATGCTTGTGACTTGGAAGATTACACTTGTTCTACATACCTAAATGACCTCAATCGCCATAGACAGCTTGTTATGGAGTAAAAATGAGTGCCTTCTATCTCATAGCCTCTAGTACTTATTTGGTTGCTTCTTTGTTGTCCTCTTGTTTTTGTTACTTCGTCTTTTTGAGCGTCTTAGAAATGGGTATGGCTCTGTTCTAAACGTGTGGGTGAAGTAAAAGTTTCACAAGCTTGTGTAGCTCCTTTGAACTCTGTAAAGTTTGATGTTCCTCACAAATCTGTATAGGTTCCACAGTGATGGAAAGAAAATTAGGAATGTCACTTTATATGGACGTATTACAATTGACATTAGAAATTTATCTATGTTTATTGCAATAATGGAATTATTGGTTCATTGCACTTGAGTTATAATAACTTGGACATTCGGTGCGTTAGCAGAAAAAACTTGGACATTAGGTGGAATCAATTTATTCATTGGCGGTAGCATTTTAATCCTGAACACTGTTGGCAGTGATCAATAATTTGATATACTCCTTTCAAGATCTTAACACATATTTGTAAAAATTCTTTTTGAAGTAATTTGGGATCCAAATAATACTTATTAGAGAACTTTCATAAAGATACAATGGATGCCTCGGTACTTATTATCATGGAAATATTCAAGCTAACATCAAAGAATAGCACAGTTCGATATATCAAGAACTGAGAGCATAATATCACACTTTAGCTAATAAAGAACAAGAAAAAATCACTTTGTTACCCTTTTTTTTTTTTGAGAACCCTGTTTTTTTGATAATATTAAAATTATACTTTGAGATTTAAAAATATCGATTTAGTACCCTAACCTCTTCAAACATGGTTACATTAAATGTCTTTTATACCATATTTCTCTTTTTTTCTTAATTGATCTAACGTCAGAAATAATACTGAAAATATCATTTATTGATATTTGGACTAAAGAATAATACTCATATTTTTGGTCCCTTTTCATTTCTAACTTGGACCATTTAAATAAACTTAAGGAAAGGGATAGAAAAAACATTTCCATGTACAAAAAAATTGTTTCAGGATATTATGACTTTTAAAAAACTTTAGGTAACATTCTAATATCATAAAAAATACAAAATATGAACCAAAAAGTGAATTTTCTAAAAAAAAATTATCCGAAGAGATTTTTCCCTAAAGAAACATAAATTGGACGCAAACTCATCTAATAAATGTCCTTAATTATAAAAATTTCCTTCTGAACCATGATTTTTATTTTCTTTTTTTTTTTAAACTAAGATTCTTTTTAATTAAATGAGCGAAAGAAGAGTTACATGAAAGGTTTTTATTATATCACATTTCGAGTTATCAACTAAGACTTAATTGCTACTGCACTTCTAAGTGATAATGGGGAAAAAGAAATTTGTGGGACTAAACTATTACTCCTTAAAAAAAGTTAGGGAATATTAGCACCAAAACCCCTAAAAGTTGGTTTCCAACTAAGTTACAAGGTTGAATAATGCCGGAAATCTCTATTCTTATTCAAACTTCTTAATAACTTCACGTCATGTCAATATAACAAGTTACATTTATTAATAGAAAGATGGTAATTAATTACAATGCCGGTTAATATAAAAAAATTTAGGATAAAATTGAGATCTTTAACCTCCTTTAAGATGGTTACCTTGAAGACAAAGAAAAACTAAGTTAAAATATCAATTACATCCATTAAATATTAAAATATCACTCAAGTCCCGAGATTCATACTACACTGAAAGTAAAATTAAAATTAAAAATCATGATTTATTTGTGATTATTGCACTTGAGTTATCGGTTCAAATATCTTACGAAATTAATCTCACTTGGTCCTCGTAAACTTGTTTTGGTGTCAACGAAACTAGAGTGATAGTCCGTTGTTTGTGCGTGAGTGAGTACTTGTTGGTGAAGCCGTCATGTTGTACACGCCTATCAAATTGCCATGGTCTTCCGAGAAGGAGATGTCCTGCTTGCATTGGTACTACGTCGCACAATACTTCGTTTTCATACTTACCAATCCGAAATGGTACAACCACCTGTTTTGTAACCCTCACTTTCCCGCTATTATTCAACCATTGTAGCTTGTAAGGACGAGGGTGCTTAAGTGTTGTGAGCTCTAACTTTTCAACCATAGAAGTACTAGCAACGTTAGTGCAACAACCATCGATAATAACACTACATACCTTGTCTTTCACATGGCAATGAGTGTGAAAGATGTTCTCTCACTGTGTTTCTTCTTCTTCTTCTTTTGCTTGCATGTTTAAGGCTCGCCGTGCAACTAGCCCAAGCATTTCTCCATGGTCTGTCCCGAACTCCTCTTCTCCTATGGGGGCGTCCTCCAATGGTGGTATATCCTCTAGATCATCCTCATCTTCCAAATCAATTTCTCCATTATCCCGGATCACCATAACCCGCTTGTTTGGGTATTGGCTTGCTATGTGTCCTCTTCCCTAACATTTAAAACACTTAATCTCACTGGAAGGAAAAGTATTAGGGGCTAATTTACCTTGAAAGGTCGTGGGATTGGTGGCTGGTTTGTGCTCGGTTTTGGCCTTGAAGGGGGCTGGATTTTCTTCTTTTCTTGGATAGCTCGGCCTCCAAGGTGTTGCACTCAGATTTTGAGGGGCTGGTCTTGGTCGTGTTCCACTCCTCTTGAGTTGCCTTTCAACTTTGATTGCCATATGCACTAAATCTTCCAATTCCACATAATGGTGTATCTCAATTGTGTGGCAATCTCCCGGTTTAACCCATTCAAAAATCTGGCCATTGTCGCCTCCCGATCCTCCTCCACATTAGCCCTAATCATGGTTATCTCCATCTCTTTAAAATACTCGTCAACACTCCGGTTACCTTGATGGAGACCTTGTAGCTTGAGGTATAGATCTCAGTAATAATGACTTGGTATAAATCTTCACCTCATCACCCTTTTCATCTCATCCCAAGTTTCAATAGGACGATCTCCATTGCGCCTCCTATTGGTGCAAACCTGATCCCACCACACAATAGCATAGTCAGTAAATTCAATAGCGGCAAGTTTTACCTTCTTTAGTTCGGAGTAGTTGTGGCAATCGAAAACTAACTCCATGTTGGGAATAGTGTCCTAGAAGCATGAGATGTAATAGGATATTTATTATTTAATTAATAAAAAATTTTATTCATCATTTTATGTGCATATATTTATGAATATTTTATGAATATCAAATGAAAATTCCGTGATTGTTTATGTAACCTTAACCATAGTATATAAGTGTTATATACGAGAGGATAGTGTTTAAGGATAATAATAAAAAAAACATTGTTCATGATGAATTTAATTAAAGTTCAGAATCTTTAATTAAAACATTATTAATACATGTCATTCCCATTTAGAATAGAACGGTGTTATCCGCACTGTTAATATGGTGAGATATTGAATGAGTGTATTTCACATAATAAGATTATATGGAACAAGGACACAGACACAATATGAATTTCTAATAATTTCCGTTAAGCATAGAAATTCTAATTGAGTCTACCAATGGTCATATATAGGATGATCTTAATCCTGAGTTCTTAACAAACTCCTATTTATGGATTTATGTATTTTGATTTACTCGGTACGGATTCCGAGACCCTGAATCCTATTCCTTGTATTTTGGAGACATAATGAAATAGGTAGCCGGGAATGTTATTATACGAGATGGAATCCATTCCTTCTTGAGAAAGAAGCAGATAAATAATTCTCTTGAGTGTTGATTCGGTACTTGGATTAGTAAGAGCGCT